TATATATATATGGAATAGAAGATGGGTGGTTCTTTCGCGGTTTCAACTGACGGTCCCCGGGGTTTTATGCACCCAGCGTAATTTAGCAAAATTTGAAAAAAAACAATTGAAAACAATTTTTATAATTTCTGATTATTTTCCTTTTTCATTCTTTGTTAAAATTAACAGAATCGCACAATTTCACATTTTTGGGATCAGCATATTCAGCATTTTTTATTATTTTTTATTTTTTGCATAAAACCGCTGGGACCGAACTAAATAGGCCGACAGCTGAGGAATAGTCGTTTGAGGCTTCCAGACGTGACAATGCAAGCTGTCACGACAAACGAGGATGAAGGCATTCCGTTTTTTAGCTGTGTTGCAGCAGCAGCATATAATTAATTTTGCGAAACCCTTCACCCTCAACGATAGGGCAGACAGGACACACCCACGACACACCTCCGAGTATCGAATATGCATAGATCGGTGCAAATAATCGAAGGTTAATCGAGTATCAGAGTAATGCAATTCTTCGATATCTGCTCGAATAATAATATTTGGTAATCTAGGGAAATAAGTATCGGGTAATTGTTTGACGTTGACTACAACATGTACCAACAGAGTGACTGTGTCTTCACACCCTCCGCCCTCCGACACCCGGGCTTCCCCCCCCTCCCCCTTTACCTCGTACCCCTCCCCCTTTCTCCCAAGCTACTGATCACCCCCCTCGCAACCCTTCAAAACAGAAGGTAACCTTGCTGCTTTTAGAGTTACGCTTTAAGCTCAGTCTTCTACTATTGTTTGAGAGATTTCTAGCAGAAAAAAAGAAAACGTGTCTTTGTTTTTGTGCGATTTATAAATCATTTTATGTGAAGTGAAGTCATTTGTAAACACGCACAGAATCTAGCCCACATAATATGGGCCCTTGGATACAAAAATAAAGATTATAATAAACAGTGGCGCGCGTTGGAAGGATCAAAATGTGGGCGGGACTCAGAAATGAGGGTAGGTTGCGTCCAAAGACGATTTCATCTGAATTTGAATTATTAACCCGAAGTAAACGAAATAAAAATTTTTAAAAAGCAAGAACAGACAGATTATAATACATTATAAAAATTCATTCGTACCAAATGCAGTTAGGCTACTGAACACACAGTGCTACAAATGAACCAGAGAGAGCGAGAGAGAGAGAGAG